ACTGAATTCATTGATTATATATATTTTTTTCAACTCAACTGAATTCAAATTGAGTTATCTTAAAAAAATTCTCTATGCAACTCAATTGAATTGAGTTGCTCAGCTCTGATAGATATAGATAAATACACATGTGATTCATTAACTAGATATGAAAGATGTAGACAGAAATTACAAAATAAATCGAAACAAGGACTAGATATTTGATTACTTTTATTATTTGAATTTTGTTTTCTGAAAAATAATTTTCGATTCTTTTTGAGTTAATTTCGATTCAATCACTACTCTTTGAAACTTTTTTCAATTCAATTCAAATGGACTAGGTTAATGAATGGAATTGAGTTAAATTGAGTTCGTCATTTTTCGAACTAACTTGTCCATTTCTGGCTTTGGAGCTGAGCCCCATCACCCTTAAATTTCTGGTTACGCCACTAGTCAAGTGTATACACTTTGATACACTTGTCATACGAAAACAAGATGTACACATACACTTGGCTAAGAAAAATAAAATGTACATATACATTTTGTTTTAGATTTCTATTAGAAACCCTGCAGCAGTGTTCAGATTTCCGAGGAAGGTAAATTTCGGAAAATACTAACCATTTCCTCCAACATCTAGTCCACATAAGCCTTCATACAACCATACATCAATTAGATACAACATATTTTCCGAAAATTCTATATCAAATAAGCTATACCACCAACTACCAATCACAGCAACAACATCCAGTATACAAGAGCCTTCTTAACCCTCCCAAGTTCCGACATATGAAACACATAAAAAAAAACAAATTACAGATATTACAAGAAAATTTCTAATTAATTTAAGAATATCTAAGCAAGACAATATATAGGATTATATGTATATGTGAGATATATGTATAGTAAAAAAAAAAGAATTTATAGAAATTACAAGGAAATTTCTTATTAATTTCCATATTTTCTTCTTATTTCCTACCCTACCTCTCCCTGATATATATATAATATATAATATTATATTTATGAAATTTACTCGAAATTTACTAGAAATTTCCATATTTTCGTGACTCTTTATACAGTGTGGCTATAAGGTATGTACATCTTATTTTACGTTATAAATGTGAGATTATCCGTAAGTGTTTGAAATTTCTTAGTTAAGGAGACGTCTTTTTAGTATGATATTTATTAGCTGCTGGTAATGGAAAATGGGAAGTTTTGGAAATTGCTAAAATTTGCTGTTAGTAGAAATCAAGGAGGTAACAGCGGACTTCAGGACTTCAAAGACTTCGAAAGGCTTCAAGAGACTTCAGTAAGCGAGACTTCAATTTTTCGAAAAACTTCAGAAGATTTTAGAAGACTTCGATAGCCTTTAAAAGATTTCAGAAGACTTCAAAAACTTCGAAAGACTTCAAGAGACTGCACGAGACTTCATAAGACTTCATGTATGAAGTCTCTGTTGTATACCCCTTAGTAGAAATACGACGTTTTCTTTGATCTCCTCGTAAAATACATGCATTCATAGAAATTCTAAAAGACTTCATGAGGCTTCATAAGACTTCGCAAGACTTCATAAGACTTCTAGAGATTCTAAAGACTTTAAAGATTTCATGAGACTTCATGAGATTTCAAAAGACTTCAAAGACTTCTGGAGACTTCAAAGATTTCATGAGACTTTATGCATGAAGTCTCTGTTGTATACCCCTTGCTGCAAGTTGATAAATCCACTAAAAATATACTAAAAATATTGCGGTATCGATGAACTGATATTATACCTCATACTGCAATCAGTATGCTAATACTCATTCATAACGAGTAATCATTTTTAAAAAGTGATTTTTTCTAAAGTGTAGCCCGTTCAATTCTGCATTGAATGCTATATAATAACAATTTCAACAATAAATGTGTAGTGAAAAAATAGTGAAAAGATAAAATATTATGAAAAATGCTTTAAACTTTTGATCACATAGAAAAAATTATTTTTCCCATATATAACGGAGAGTTCGTCTTTTCCAGACCAAATCATATTATCATCAAAGGACTTTTTAAAAAATATCAAAAAAATACAAAGTGCCTTAAACTTTTGATTCCCGCTTTAAGTGATGAAGAACAAAAACATACTTGATCGACTTTGTCAATATTTCTTTATTAACTAAATAACTAATAATGAAAATAGCTCTTCTTCTCAATTGATTACATAAATACTAAACAGTTTTTAACGAAATTGATATTGATTGCTAAAAAAATAAGCAACCGAATGTGAGAAATGAGAAAATGAAGGAATATTTGTATATGATTTTGATTTGATTTTTGATAATTCACTAATAGTTGGACAATACGTATAGAAAACATGACCAAAAACTCCGTCTTGAACGTACTTTTCATAGAAACGTTGAAGCATTGCAGCAAGTTTGGTACCCGTGCTTTCAATAAACATATTGAAGAGTGCAACGCTTCTATTAATTTTTATTTGTGTTACACCAGTTCCTCGAATGAAACCACCACGAATGCCGTCCGATGCTTCGCAAAATAAACTCACACCACCACACGCTTCATTTTTACCTTGTTCGTAATATCCTAATTTATTGAGTGCAACGTCGCCATCCGAATGTATCAGAGTACGCACTATTCAAAAATTATGGCACACCCTCCAGTTTTCAAAGTGAAAAGCTATCTCTATCTAAAGAAGGGTTAATTAGTGCGAGAGTCAAAATGAATTTTTGAAAAATTAACAGTTGAGAAAATTAAGAAAAAGTTACAATGATTATAACCGTAGTTATAATTTTCAAACATAGTTATAACCTTTGGATCAAAAGTTGCTCAATTATAATTTTTGAGTTATAACTCCGCCTTTTTTTAACTTCCACTCTGATATTATATTCTTGATTGAAGTAATAACATGTCAATATTTTTAAATAAATAACCAATGTGACATAATAAATGTCTACCTTAATTGAAAATTGAACTTAATTTCAGGAGACAATACAATGTTTTTAGAAGGTAATGCTGGAATGGTGTGAACTATATTTCAAAATGTGGCGCCAGTACACTGTGAGGATGGAATGACGAAGATGATAATCCTCCCTGTTCATTCGTAGAAAAGCACACGCTGTATATAGGATGGTGGAACACCCTGCTAGGGAAATGTCCAACATGAGATCAAGGGAACAAGATGAGGAAGAGTCCTATAACATATAGCATTACATACGTAAACGATAGGAGAGGAGAAATCCATATAACATAACGAAAGGAAAAAATCCATGAACGATATAGAAGAAAACGAGAACACATATAGAAGAAGATGAATCACACTATATATCATATATGGATATGTAACAACAGAACGAAGTGTTAATTTTTGATAAATTTACCAATAATGCTACTTCTGTTATATTCGACACAACTAATGAATATTCTGGTGCTTGTGATTTGAGTTTATTTGTTTCCATATGAATATCAGTATCACTATTACCATTTTGACCATTCATATTCTGTTTGGTCGACGAATATCGATCAGGAAATGTCGCAATTACACTATGTAATGCAGTAGAAACTTCATAGCAAATACTACTTTTATTTGAGACTGGAATAAAAAAAATTACTTTTATTGAAAGAATATACTACAGAATTAGATAATTTCAAACGTGATCTTTTATTCCAATTTGATTCTCATTCAAATTGCAAAAACTAATAATATGGTATACAAATCGAGTTTTTAAAAAATCACATTTTATTTCAAAATATATGATATATGTTCTATACTTTACATGATTTTCAAAAGTCAATAAAAATGTAAGAATATGTAATTGAGTTAGACAAAATTATACTTACCACTCTCACCTATTAAGTGGTGATTTTGGTTTAGATAACCAATAATATTATTAGTAGGATTATGAAAATAGGATTAATCCGATAAAGATCCAATGATTAAACATAAAGCTGATAATGTAATTGCTGAGTTATGTCCATTATGTTGTTGTTCTTTCAAAAAGCAAAGCAAATACCAATCTTCATTTTTTGTCAAAAATATCAAGATCAAAAATTGGTAGAGAATTAAGTTGTTGAAAGTTTATATCAAGATTGCGGGCAAAATCATTGAGAATTGGATGATATGCTGTTCGATTATTTGCCATAAAACACGATGAAAATTGAAATTTATAATATGAAAGATAAAAAATTAAAAATATTTATAAAGACAATAATGTTTCATATTATAAAAGCTACTTACACAGTATATGCATGGAAATCATCTAATGCATCGATATTTATAGGGATCGAATAGTACAACCAGATTTTAGTTAAATAATGGATATGACCTGGACAAATATATTCTTCTTATAACATGCACAATGGAACACAATTGATGGACTACTTACTACGGCAGTAGAGATAAAGAAAATGAACATAGAACGACTAAGAAAATGTTCGTAACAAAGAATGCATCTTTCTTCTACAAGTCGAACCAACTAAAAGTTGGAAACAAAATATTTTTAAAGATTGAAATTCATTTTAAAAAAAGTAAGAATTTATTTTTTGTTAGTATTCAATCAGATATTGCTAAAATATTAATCAGGGTTGAGTTTTGTTTGAGAAAGAATACTTCATGATAGTCTACACGATATTCAAACGTATCAATCTAAAAATACCCTTTTATGACGTACTGAACGTCAACATCTAAATTTGATACAAATAAAGATGTCGATAGAGATCAAACTATTAGATGAATGCATGAACCTATTTATTATATGTACCATATCCTATTGAATGCTATAATAATACTATGCACGATAGAAGGAATAAACACAGAACTGAATTTATCAGTCAAATATTATACTTTTACAATTGATTATATATGTATGTATATGTTAGCGTCCAAAGTGAGATTCAGGCCAATCTGAGATCCATTGTTCCAATTTTAAATTCGCCTAGGCGGATGTAAGATTGGCCTAGGCGAACCTTGGATCGAAAAATTAGACTCACATTGGACTAGGCGAATCTAAGATTGGACTAGGCGAATCTAAGATTGGCCTGACTGTCACTCCCACCTCACCCTCACTCTTATCATTGGTGTTTACTATCGTAAAAAATGAAATTTTGGTTGATCTTAGATTGGCCTAGGCGAATCTCAGATTGGCCTGAATCTCACTTTGGACGCTAACATATATATGTGTAGAAAGTAGTTTCTACAAAAATTATGTAAAAGAGCAATAATATGCATTCTGTAATATAAGTTTTATTATTCGATACAGAAGACTCTAATATTCAGCAGATTCAAATAAATTAATGAATTGAATCTTCCTATTGATTTCTTTAATATTTGTTTTCAATTATTTGCAATTGCACTACAGAACAGTTTTACATGGTAGCCATAAGTCTTATATAAACTGTCATAATGGAAATCGACGACAGTATTTTAATGATGTCTTAAAATGATGACAGTAGAAGCTATATGATTTCCAATCTAAAAATACGCGAACGATATAATCATCTAAAGATTTGTAATAACGGTATCCATACTTCATCTAAAAATATTTCTCTTATTTTCTTCGTAAAATAATTTTGAAGATATCGTTTTGCTTTACAACCACTTATATCAATGAGCAAAAATTATAATAAAACATTCCAACTATATGATTGAATATCATCTGCAATATGTTTTCATCTCACGCGTATAGAATTGCTATCTATAATTACCGTTTACCTTGACATTTTCTTTTATATTTAAAAATCGAAGACAGAATACATCAAGTGTATAATTTGATTCACATACATACCGTCAATTTCAAAATAGAAAATGCCCATCCACTGTTTTAGGAATTAATGTTAATAATACAAACCAGACAATGTACTTGGTCAAATCAATTAAACTTTTCAAACACAATAAAAAATTGCTATACAATGAACACATTTTATACAAATGAAGCAATTAATTTTGACTACTATCAAAATTTTTAAAGAAGGTGAGTGTGGATGTGAGTGTAAGAGAATAACAGAACACCACATACCCACATCCTGAAACTTCTCTCAGCAGAAGCTGCTGATGCAGGCTTGCTCTGTAGTCAGCATTTTTCCGATAAGATCGAATTCATGTTCACACAAATTTACAATTGAAATACAAGAAGCGATTCTTCTTTTCTTTTCTTTGCTTAATTCTTCGCAGAAAGAATAAGCAAAGAGTGCATGTCTACCCCAAATGGAAGAAAAAAATACAATTATAATTTAATTTAAAAACAAATAAACAATTCTGAAAACATAAAGTTTCAATGCGCAAAAGCTTATTAATAAAAATTACAATGCGCAAATCTCCAAATGAAATACACAATAACCCACAACCTTCCCTGGCTGCGCCACTGATAGAAAAGAAAAGGAAAGAATGACACTACAATACAAATTTTTTTTTGTTTCTTCATGAATTTTTAACGCAATTCATTCTTTATATATATAGATGCTGGAGAACGAGAAATTTATAATTATATGTTGTTATTCTTTTTCTTTCGGAGAAAGAGAAGATTGAATGAGCTTTACTTATAAAAAGCTTTCGACGTCTGGATGTATGCTAACGAAGGACGTACTCGAAGTGATCAAGAGCTTTTCATCTCATATTTTGGCCATAAGTAAGACCTGATAAGACTAGAAAAAGCCTAAAAGGATATGGGCCCTTGTCTTTTTAGACTTTTTCTAGTCTTATTCGGTTTCACTTATGCCAAAATATCAGATGAAATGTTCTTAATCACTTCGGGTACCTGCCTCGTAAAAAGAAGAAGTTTGTCATTATATTTTTCTCTCATATTTACCTTAATTTGCAAGGATGAAAAAGTAGTATGACTTCCATTTCTTTTTTTATTGATAGAATACTCCTAAAGTTTTTATACAATGCCTCGTCTTAATATAAGAGAAGCAATGGCTCAACGTTTAACTTCGAAGCAAATTAAAGAGGTAAGTTTTATGATTATAATTATTGTTTTCCACTAACTTATGGTTATTTTATTGATGATGATAGTTATTTCAAGAATTTGATAATGGCAATGGAATATTGTCATTAGCAGAAATTGATCGAGCTATTATTTATTGGCATCCTGAATTGGGTACAAATCGTCAAGCTATGCTTCGTGCTTATAAAGCAGCTGATATAGATCATGTACGTCTAATTCTTTTTTGTTTGATAAGATTTAGGTTTTGTTTTTCTTGATTTTCTAGAATGGCTTTGTTCAACTGAGAGAATTTCGTCATTTAATTGAGTTATTATGTTTTTATGATGAATTTAGTATTTTATTTGGACATTTAGATATGAATCACGATAAAAGAATAAGTTTTAGTGAATTTGTAAGAGGACATGAACTTATAGATCATGAAGATATGGATGAAGATGAATTAAGACATGAATTTAATCGTATCGATACTAATCATGGTGGATATATTTTATTTGATGAAGTTTGTTAAATATTTTATATAATACTACATATTTTAATTTTCTATGATTATTGTTTTATTTAGTTTTGTATGTATATGGCAAAGAAAAAAACTTCAGCAAAATAATCAATATATTTCATGAAATATTGAACAGCTCTTTTATGTTGTATTCAAGATTTAGAATTGTTTTAATTGATGTATTTGTGTGTGAAATAAATATGAAAATAAAGCAACATATATATATATATATCGAAAGTGTTTCAGTTTCAATTGATATTTTATGTCCTGATTGGATAAATTCTGTGTGAAAACCGAATTGATAGTCTGTGAAAACAATGTAATTGCAGATGAATATTTATAATAAAAACAAAGATTTACCTTTGTAAAATAAGATGTAAACGTCTCTGTACGTTAGTTCGATATTGAACAACTGACTTATGAAATTCTTTCTTGTAAAATTTCGATGGTAATATAAATATAACAAAAGTAAGCATGGGTGGAATAAATGAAATAAAATATCCAATAAGAAATAACCAGGAATCATTAACTGATTGCATACATTTCGATGCCAACGAAATAATTAAACGTGGTAAAGTAAGTATAACCAATATGACTGGAGCAAGAAACAAATGTCTATGTTGTCGAAATTGTTCTTGTAAAATTTGTTTATAAGTTCGATGTGTTTGAAGAGTTGATTGTTGACGAGTTTTTCTCGTTATGAGAATAACAACTGATATAAGATTGATCATAAATGGAACACAAACATGAAAAATCTGTATAAAAGAATTAAATGTTTCTAAACTCAATGAATAAGTAACAATACACCAAATTCGTTTTTCATTATCATTTTCTTCGCCTTCTTCAATTAAACGTCGATACATCGGACCATGAATAGTAGTACCAATAATAAAAATTAAAAGAATAATTATCGCTAATTTAGCTATTTGTTTACTTTTTGTTTTGCTAAAACGAGTACTTTTTAGTATCATAATCGCTCTTTCGATAGCTACAAATGCATTTAACCATTGATTCATATTAAGACAAATTTGACGAAGAAAATCAATTGAATAACATTGAAAAGATAAAAAAGATCTATTCACTATAAATGCCATTTGTGCAAGAATAAGTATCCAAAATTTTAATCCGAACATGATCATTGTAAATAGAGTAGTCATTGATGAACCTAGAATATAGAGACTACAACCAACATCTCTTACACGTTTATTTTTAAACGTAATCATAGCAAGAATACCACTGAGCAATCCAACTATCATAAAGAGTATAGTCAATGCTACACTTATTTGTACAATCAATGGTTGATGTGTGATGTTAATATGTGGTAAAATATGATAACCTAATATAGTATCAAGTGATAAACCAAATCTATTTGTACTAAACTGACATTTTGCACCACAAAAACATGAACGACATCTTGAGGGTGGGTGTGGATCATAGACTATCTTTACTTTGAATCACACCCACACCTAGTGTTTCTAATAGAAAGTGTACCAAGCATAATCAAAGTGTGCAGAACACTTGCTTCTCTCGAAATACACGCTGCGGTACATTTGTTCCAGAAAGTAGAGTGTACGAGATACACTTTGCTTCTAATTCTGAGAATTTTTAAGAATACTCTATATTTCAAAAATTATGTCTAAACAATGAAACATTGTGACCTCTTTTGATACAAATTATCATTCCTATCTTGGATAGATAATTGTACTTCCATTTATTGTGTATTTGTTCATCTACCATTGTTTAATTGTTCTATGAAAGAAAGGCATGAATATTCTTCTATTTTTTATTTCTTTATTTTGTATTAAACGACAAGTATATACACTTTGATACACCTGGTATACGAAAACAAGATGTATATATTTTCGATATTTCATCTGAACTTATATTGAGATACTTATGAATCTAAGCAACAATAAGTCCATTTAGCCTGTTTTGCTTCTCTTCTCTTTGATCTATTCTTCTCTACCTTTACGCAGTCAACAGTTTCCCGATAAATTCGAATTTATGTTCACTCAAACTTACAATCAAAATACAACAAGCGATTCTTTTCTTCTTTTCTTAACTCTTCGCAAAAAGAATTAGCAAAGAGTGCATATGTGCTTCAAATAGAAGAAGAAAAATACAGTCATAATTTTATTCAAAAATAAATGAACAATTCTGAAAAAGTAAAATTTCAAGGTGTAAAAATTTTATAAATAAAAATGTCACTGCGCAAATCTCCAAATGAAATAGGCAATAACCCACAGTCTCCTCCTGACTACGCCACCAATAGAAAAGAAAGGGAAAAAACACATGTACACGGAGGGAAAGAATGACGCTATAGAATAATCCAGACAGCTAATGTCACCACATTACAAATTTCTTTCAGTTCTTCATGAATTTTTAACGCAATTCATTCTTTATATATATATATGTGCTGGAGAACGAAAAGTTTATAGTCTATATGTTATTATTCTTTTTCTTTCGCAGAAAGAGAAGGTTGACTGACGACTGAGGTACCCGATCTGATCAAGAGCTTTTCATCTCATATTTTGGCCATAAGTAAGATCTGATAAGACTAGAAAAAGACTAAAAGGATACGAACTCTTAGACGTTTGTTTCCGAGTTACGTTCATTTTACTGAATTTTTCCCTTATAATCAGAAGTTCATTGAAAAATCAGATTGATACTCTATAATTTGATTTTTCCATGAACTTCTTGTTATAAGTGATGAATTCAGTAAAATGAACGTAACTCGGAAAGAAATGTCTATGAGCCCTTATCATTTTAGGCTTTTTCTAGTCTTACTAGGTTTCACTTATGCCCAAAATATGAGATGAAAAGTTTGTGGTCATATTTTTCTCTCATATTTTCCTTAATTTGCAAGGATGAAAAACTTGTGTGACCTCCATTTCTTTTTCTATTGACAGATTACTACAAAAAATTTTATACGATGCCTCATCTTAAATTAACAAAAGCAATGGCTCAACGTTTAACTAAAGAGCAAGTTAAAAAGGTAAATTTTTATGATTATAATTATAGTTTGTGACTAACGTACGCATCTTTTATTGATGATAATAGTTATTTCACGAATTTGATAATGGCAATGGAATATTGTCATTAGCAGAAATTGATCGAGCTATCATTCACTGGCATCCTTAACTGGGTACAAATCGTCAGGCTATGCTTCGTGCTTATAAAGCAGCAGATGTAGATAAAGTATGTCTAATTCTTTTTTGTTTGATAAGATTTAAGTTTTGTTTTTCTTGATTTTCTAGACTGGTTTTGTTCAACTGAGAGAATTCCGTCGTTTAATCAATTTATTATATTTTTATAATGAATTAAGTGGTCTATTTGGACAATTAGATACAAACCACGATAAAAGAATAAGTTTTAATGAATTCAAAAAAGGACATGAACTTATAGGTGATGAAGATATAGATGAATATGCATTAAGAAAAGAATTTCATCGTATCGATACTAATCATGGTGGATATATATTATTTGATGAAGTTTGTTAAATATTTATATATATTTTAATTTTCTATGATTATTGTTTTATTTAGTTTTGTATGTACATGGCAAAGAAAAAAGCTCGGTAAATTGATCTGTATATCTCTGCTGAAATATTAAACGTTATTTTGATATTGTATTCGAAGTTTAGAATTATTTAATTGATATATTTGTGTGTTAAATAAATAAGAAAATAAAATGTTTGTAATGTTCATTTTTTTTGCTCTGTAGAAATAGAAACAATGAATAGAATAAAGGAAAGATGAACTTTATATTTCTAGTGAACTTGAAATATTGATATAATTATAATAATAATGATTTACCTCCTTGATATTATTATTGTACAAAGTATCAACCAATTTTTTTACATGATTATTGTTTAATCTTTGACTTATAATTAAGGATGTGGGTATGGGCGTGAATGCGAGTGCAGATGTGGGTGTACGTTTGGGTGTGGGCTGTTATGGATGTGGGAGAGAATGAGCCTGAAACATTATTCTCACCCACATCCACACCCACACCCACCCTCAAGATTTCACCTAATACATATAAGCTTATTTGTTTACCTATCGAAAAAGCAGATGATGGTAATATTGATTGTGTTGGTGCTACTGATGAACCTAAGGTGTGCCGGTCAAAAGATCATAAAGCAGTTTATGAAAAGTTTTATTGTAGCCACGATACTCATCGCCCTTGCAGATCGTCTAAAGATTTATGCTATAGTGGGCCGCAATGTATGTATGGAAATGTTGAATAAATATGTACTTCAAAAGAGACAACTAGGTGTGATGATGAAGATGCATCAAAACGTACTGACGTTGAGAATTTTGTTTGTCAACTTCATCCTAATTATCATAGCTATGAAAAGCGCCGTGTATATTTTTCGATCAATAAATTAAAACAATCAGATAAACAATTAACAACTCAGAATCAGATAACACGTTTCAATTCTATTCCAATTTCTCGTCAATATGATCAACGTTGTCACCGTGGTTTTCTTTTACACGTTTGGTTGAACAATGATGAAAATTTAAATACTACAGCTTGTCTGTGTCCAGTTAGTTTTTAAGGGAATTTTTGTCAACATCAAAATCAACGAGTTAGTCTTACCTTAAAATTTCAGGCGTATTCTGATTCAACACGTACATTATTTGCTTTAATTATTTCACTAACAAATGATAATAATGAAAGAATTATTCATTCATATCAACAACTTACTTATATTTATGTTCAACATTGCCCAGTTAAATTCAATATTTATTTACTTTATTCAACTCGACCGAAGAATGCTACAAATAATTATTTTATTCATATTGATATTTATGAAAAGAATTCATTTCGATATCGTGCAAGTTTATTCGCACCAGTTCATTTTCCATTTTTACCTGTAAGTCGTATTGCTCTTGAAGTGAATATTTCACGTATGAGAGGTATATACAAGCTTTATATTTATAAAGACATGCCTAAAGAGACCCCCTGTAAAGTATACTGTTTTTTTTTCTATCTGTGAAAAAGTAAACTTTTTCTTATTGAGGTCAATAATGATACTTAACAAAGGATCTCTCTAGAAATGTCTTTATAAATACAAAGCTTGTATATACATCTATCACTGGTAAAAAAATCAGCTCCTTTGCTCGAGCCGTAAGAGAGATATTCAACTTTTTGTTTGTTACCTTACTTACGGGCCACCCTGTATATGATGATTATTAAAACAAACCAATTATCTGATTATATTCTCTTTAATATTTATTAATATATTATTTGAATAAAACTAACAAATAAAAAAATTTGTGTTAGAATCGATAAATTTTTATTAAAAACAAAAAGAACAAGAAAAGTTTTTCAACGAATTGTTAATGAAATTATTCGAAATTCTATAGAAGGTATAATATTTATTTGTTCTATAAAAAGATTTTAGAATTATAAAAAAAAAACTTCAAATAAAAATAAGATTATTTTGCTATTTAGTGTTGAATAAATAGAAGTTAATTATGTTATGAAACGAATCAGTTACATTAATAAATAATGATGTTGAATAATTGATGAAAGATTCTTTTAGTTTATTTACAGAATAAATAATAAGATTATTTAATTCTTTAGGAAATATCTGAGAAATTAACGACTGTACATAAAATTATCCCTAAAACAAAATAGAACAGAACCGAAAAAAATTGATTTAATTAAATAAATAAAATAATGTTGTATTGAAATATTAAAAGAATCGTTAACATATTATAAATATTCTAAATAACGATTTTTATATTCTGTTAAATCAGTATTAAATAAATAAAATTGTATTGATAATTATAATAGAACATTAAACATTAATTCTATAATTATCATTCAAACTATAAAACATTCTTGTTTTTTTTCTTCGTTCGTTATATATAATCATAAAACTATTATCAATTTTATTATGATAATGTTTTAAATATTGAATTGTTGGTTCTTGGTTAGTTTGTTTGTAATAAAAAAGTTCATATGAAAGATGTTTACCTCGATTTCTTCTTTCTATATTCGAGTGACATGACATATTTAGGAAAAAGGAAAATTTAATGGTTCTCTCTATTTTCTCTATATTAAATGAATAAGTAATCCACGTGATTCTATTAGATGAAGACAATCTAGTCACTGTTTACAAAGAAAACTGTACTGCATCACAAATAATAGCGTCGATCTTTCTAGTTTTTATTCTCGTTAGTTTATTTATAATCTTATATATCGATATGGAGACATTTTTTACAAAAGAACAAAAACTTGATTTTGCTCGTCGTCAATTTATAGAAGTGAAAGATGATGATGAAAATATTAGTTGGGATAATAGTTGTATGTTATAAAATGTCAAAATTAAAATATTATTTTGTTTGTTTATTATAGTATTGATAATAAAAAAAATATTTGGTAGTCATTTATCGATAACAAAAATAAATAATTTACTATATGATGCTGATCAAGACAGTTAGTTGACATGCATTCGATTTGTTAATTTTATGTTAATGAATTTCGTTTAGGCAATGACAAAATATCGTTCGATGATTTTATAAATGTTATTAAATCCTTATTATTAGAAGAAAACGAAATGAATACAGATGCTGATCGATCACTTCCAGTAAGTTTTTGAAGATTATTCGAAGCTTTGACTCGATTCCAATTCGAGACTACGCGAAAATAAGAGCCGAAAAAAAAATTCGATTTCGTTTTAAAAAAATTTTTCAGCTGACTTCAAGAAAAAAAGGAAATGATTGCAGATACGTCAGCCACTTTGAAACCATTCAATTACCTCCGATGGATCTACATTAGAGCGATTTCAAACCTTTCTTATAACATGTTATATCAATGGAAAAAACATCGAACAATGTTCGAATGATATTTTTTCTATTTGACCTCGACTGATATGCATAAATTGACGTTAGACAAAATATATAAAAGAAGAAAAAGAAAGTCATATCCTATCGTCCGCTGTTCGTGTTTTTCTGAACAGTCTATATATATATATATATATCGTATGTAGACTGAATTAACTCATTCTGAACAATCAATAGAAAAAACTAATAAAATGGCAGAACAAGTGAATGTAAGGATGAGGCTCATCAGATCTCTTGAGAAATGAAAAGATTTATTATTATGTTTTAATTCAATCATTAATCATTTCTTTTTTTTTACGCTCTCAGGATGAACAGCAAAAGCAACAACAGACGGACGATTTTGTTCAAAAATTATTCGAATTGACAGACAATGGAACGAAAATTGATAAACAGATGATGGAAACACTTGCACAACAATATAACATTCAAAAAAAATGATTTAGTGTTTTCTTTTCTTTTTGTCTCACTTGGTCTTCTTTTTGTCTGACTTGATCTTTCTTTTTGTGAATAAATATCATCACATGTCTTAGGTTTTGAAGGACAGAGTTCAAACGAAAAATGGTATTGGATCTTGAATTAAAACGAGAGAAGAACGAAAACTCATAGAATATTTTAAAATCGGATGAAAATTATAATTTTAATAATCAACCTATCAATTCCTATTTAAACAATTCCTCGAAATAGTTATTACATTTAATCGCACGTTTATCAGTTTAATTCTAGTTTATAATCAACTAAAGATACACTATAGAAGTAAACATGTTTCGGTATAAAAATCAATCCAAAACGTTTAAGTTCTGACTTTCGATCGTTTTCTTCAAGTATGCTGCTAATTATTACAACAAAATACTTTAATTTGCTTACTGAATTTTACATAACACAATCAGAAAAGAAGAGATTTCATATCATTATACGCAAGGTACTACGTATACTATGATTGATAATGTATCTTTAGGATATAATAAGTGAGAGACAAATAGAATACTTTTATTCGCTCATTGATAACATTATACAAGATACTTTTGGATTCTGTCGGTTTCTAGCAAAATCTGTTTGTCGAATTGATTATTCTCGGTGAAAAAACATTATCAATCATTATAGTCGTACGAATTGCATTCTGTTTTGTGCTAATAGTAAGGCCAAAGAAAGTCAAAAGCTGAGAGCATTTCGAAAAAAATCGGGAAAAGTATCGTACAACACAAAGCGCTGCTATTTGACATGTATGGGGGAAGATGTAGAATCTGTTCATTGAACGATCGAGCTTACATTTAGTTATGATCTAACACAAACATAAATTGTTTGATGTAAATAAAAACTGTATGCGTTCAAACTTTTACATTCATTTCACTTAATATTGTTTGTTTTACTGCAATTAATTAATATTTATCAACAAATTACTATCCATATTTAAGACAAATGAGTCCAACTAAAACAGCTAAATTTCTTATTACTTTAACAGTTATACTAGGTATTTGGCTGAGAGTAATTTATTTTTTTAAAGTTATTTAATATATATATATATATATACAAATCGTTTACTATAGAATATATCAATAGTTGTCGCTATACGATATTTATATATCTGATTAATTTACTATTGGTTATCTAATCAACTAAATATAGCTCAGAGTTTGATAAGAACCAAATCATATCAAATCTATTTGGTTTAAGAGAGAAAATTCGAAATGATAAAGCAGAAATCCATTTAATATTCAAAGAAAGTTTTATTAAAACACATGTATGCTCTCTTAGAGTGAATGTATACAGTAAATAAACCTAGATAATGGAAAGTTTATATCAGATTCCTTTTGCTTTCGTTCAATGTCCAAATATAAAACTAAAGAAATCATCAAATAGTACGTAAGATTTCTTGTCACTGCTGGTGTTATCTATAATATTATCGTTGAACCACCTAGTGTTGGTCAGTAGGTAGTACAACCGATGAATATGGTCAATATATATAATGGAAAGTCTTGCTGCTTCATTTATATTTACATTAGATGGTGTTGGATTTATTTTACTTGATCAAACAAATAAATCAAATATGCCACGTCTTAATCGTATTGTAATGATATATTTTGCAACTAAAATGTCTAGCTATTTAAGTTAAATACAAAATCAACGATACATTGTTAATACTTCGTTACTGATCTCTTTATACTATTATTTTTAACTATTTATTGATTTCTATATAGAAGAGAAAATTAAATATATTATAAATTTTAAAAATGAAATAAATAATCTAAAATGTGTCTGCATATGAATCTCTCATTCTTTAGAAAGATTGAGAGCACGTTAATTTTGTTGTATAACTAAGAAAATTTTATTACAGTCTGAAAATATTTCTATTAAGATATTATATGTTACTTCAAATTTCGATTGATGAAATTTTGATGCTCAATAATCTTAGTTTTTATTAGTTGTTCTTCGAAAACTAAGCATAAACAAACAAGAAGAAAAAAAAACGTTAAAATTCTTCTTATGTTTTTCTTGTATTGATTTGATAATCGATCGTATGTATTTGTTTAAATAATACCAATACGATTAGCAACATCAAGTGCATCATGATCAGCCTTAAGTCTAACATAAGCTTTCTTTTCACCATCAGGTCGAATTAATGTATTGATTTTTTCGGCATCAACATCATACATTTTTTTGACGGCTGCTTTAATCATGGGTTTATTAGCACGAATACTAACAATAAATACTAATGTATTGTTATCTTCGATTTTTTTCATTGCCGATTCAGTTGTTAATGGATGTTTAATGATGGCAAAATGATCAAGACGATTTCGTTTTGGTACAGACCGTCGTGGATATTTTGGTGAACGTTGTAATCGAAGTGTATGTGGACGACGAAATGTTGGTTTTGAATAAACTTTACGATTACGTGTCAATTGATTTCCACTAAAGAATATATATATCATAAGATTTTGATTTTTCTAATAAAATTCAATTTATTTACCGAGCAACCCGTTGTTTAGCTTTAAGTGCTGTTGATTTAACCTTTTCTTTACGTTCTTTGGTAACGACTTTAGTAGCAGCTGTTGTTGTAGCACTACCTGCAGGTTTTGTCGTTTTTTTGGCACTAGCTGTTGCTGTTGCTGCAGCAGTAGCTGGAGTATCTTTCTTTTTTGCTGCTGGAGCTGGAGCTTCTTTTTTTGGACCCATACTGAAAGATGAAGATCTAGAATAAAATAATAATACAAAAAATTCAAATTCAATAGAAATATCTAATGATATTTTATACATCAAATGGAAGAAACAAACAGAAAAAATTTCTGTCTGTTGTTTATCGCTCCTTTTCAGTTCTATTACTATTGGTTAATAATTTAGTCAAATTCCATCGTGAAGATCCTCATTAATTTTCAAAAAAAGTTAGTTAAATAATTATATTTTAATATTCAATTATTATTTGAAATAATTTTCATAAAAAAATTCCACAAAATAATCCATAGATGTCTCTAACAGTCGAAACGGAGAATAATTTTTCCATTATTTTATCAAATAAATAAATATATTCAAGTTTATAATAAAATTTAAGCACTATTTCAATTGATTTTATTCCTAAATTGTCATGATAAATGAGTATTAAATGTATTCGTGTACATACTCATTATCATATTAGTTGTTCTTCTGCAAAGAGATTATGAAAAAATTAGCAATATGTCTACAATCTCGTAACTATTGGTTCATTTATGTTAGAATGAATTTATTTTTTCGTTCTGTTTCTCTCTTTGAATTGAGTAAAAAAAAGAAATGCAAACATGAAATTTTATTTGAAGTTTAAAAAGACAAATCAGTTGAAATAATACACATGAAATTTCACGCAGTATACGTCGTTGTTGGTATTATTGCATGCCCATTTATTTTCTTCTGTATATTTGCTCCGAGTCAATTATTACAAGTTCAAGTAATTGAACTTGCAAATGGATTCAAATATATTGAAAAAAGTAATTTTTCAAATGAATGGAAACAGACAATTCATAAATATTTAACATTTCCTCTTGATAATCATTATGGTTCACATACAATTGTTCTTCTTGCTGCTGCATATGCTTCTGAAACAGGCGCAATACTTGAATTAGGTATGGGTTCATCAAGTACTCCGTTATTACATCGTTTAGCAGTAGATCAAAATCGTTTTCTTCTATCGGCAGATTCAGATATTCGATGGGTTAATTATTTTGTATCTGGTTTGGAAAAGACTGAATTACATCAAATGAAATATGTTGAAGTTAAAACTGAAATGGGTGTTGAATGGGCTGCAGCTAATCTTTCAGATGCTGCAAAATGGTCTATTGTTTTTATTGATCATCGTCCAGGCGGACGACGTCAATTTGATTTAAGAGCATATGCACTTCGAAGTACTCTTGTTCTTTTACACGATACAGAAGTAGCTTCTATGTATCAATATACTAATGCATTACCATTATATACTTATCGATATCGTTTTACAAGATTAAAAACTTATACAGATGTTTTAAGTAGAACAAATGAAACATTAGTTAAAAGAATTCGTTTTTTACTTGAATCAATTCCAGATAGTTATTTTCATACTAATAAGACTTTAACATAATACATTTAATTGTTTTTTAAAAAAATTTTGAAATTTTTTTAGAGAATTTTTTTCTTGAATTCGAATATAAATATCCATTTGAACATGAGCAAATCGTTTCCAAAATAAATCTAATTCATCAAAATATGTATGAAATTCTAAATTATAATTAGAAAGATTTTTAATTTGTGAAAAAGTTTTATTTGTTATTTGTTGAGAATTAGTTTTTGATATTATTAAAAGAAGTTTTTCATCTTCGAATTCTAATCGTTCACATTGATTTATTAATAGAAGTATTCGTTCAGCTTTAAATAATTTTTTTTGAAGATTTTTTTGAACTTTATCAATAAGAACACAAAGACGACGTAAAATTATTTGAGCTCGATTTTGTTGAAAAATAATTAAAGAATATTTTGATTTTGAAATTAATTGATCTAAAATTTTAGAAAAGAAAGAAAAAGAATGTTTTTTTTAATCTTCATTTTTACTTTGATGATCTTGTGGACAATGTTTAAATCGATTAATCTGATTAGTATTTGTATCAATGTGATTAATCAATTTTTTTATTTGTTTAATTTTTCTTTTTAAAATATAAACTGATATCATTTCTTGATCAATACGTTCTTTTGATTTAATTGTTTTATCGTATAAAGAACGACATTGTTTAGAAATAATACTTGTTTGCTGTTCATTGGAATAAATTATCTATACATTAAAATAAGTTTAATAAAACAAAAGTATGTCAATGATTTTTATATTTACTAACTTGATTTACTGTTGATTTTAAGGATGTAATTTGTATTTGAAAATCTGAGCGTAACATTGTGATTTCTTTAACAAATTTTTCTTGTAATTCTCGTTTATCAAGTTTAAATTGTATAAATTGTTTAAGAGCATCATCTTGTTCGATAGCATTTAAAATATTTATTTGATTATTAAGTTCATTTATTTCTCTATCAATAAATAAATGTTTTAAAGATTGCTGTTCTTGTTCAAATTCATATTTTAATATATTTAGACGATATTCATAAATATAACGTTCACCATTTTCTATTTGTTTATATAAATAGATAAGTTGATCAGTTATTTCAATTGAACGACTAAAACTTTCTCGGATAAATTTTTCATTTTCATCAAATTGATTATTTAAAGAAAAATATCTATAATCAATTAAATTTATCTAGAAATTAATATAGAAAACACAAGAAAAACAATTCGATATTTTTTTTGAATTACTTTATGTAAAAAATAATTTTTTATTTCTTGTTGATAAGTTTCATTTAAATCATTAATTAATTGTGATCGTCGAATATTAATCCATTTATTATTTAAATGACGATCAATATCATATACAATTGGTTTTAATTTCGAATTATGTACTTCAATATGAGACTTATAATTTGATTCATTTGGCCATTGTCGATGAGTTCGAAGTTGAACATAATGAATTGGTTTTTGGGTAGATTTTTTTAATCGTTTTTTACCTCTTTTACTAGACATAATCTAAAATAATCATTAGTAAGAACAATATTGATCTGGCGCTTTACTAATATGAATATATCATAGCGCTCAAAAAATCAATTAGCAATAATAAATCTGACTCTCGTATCTAAAAGAGTTAGAAGATAATATTTGATTCATTTTTTGAAGTATCATTTGAGGATTCCAGAATTTCACCAGTAAGATTTTCGCCAGTGTCATTATGTGATTATATATGTATAAAAATAGCTCCTAGTAATTATATTGAGGCGGGTGTGGGTTTGAATGTGGGTATAGATGTTGGGCTTTTTATTTCTATCCTACCCTCAAGTATCAAAGAGTAAAAGAATTATTTTAACGTCGAAATTAAATTTATTCTATTTGATTACTTAAAAAATTCGTATAACGTTTATTAAATAAGTAAAAAGAAAACAATTTTTATACAAAAACTTTCTAGATTTAAAAATATTGTTCAGTTGTCGATTTTTCGTTTTTATCAGTTAGATCTATTTGTTTATTTATTTCTTCAATAACATCTTCTGCTTGTTTAACTTGTTCATCATCATCATCGAAATGTTTTTTTAATATATTTAATTTATTCTGAGCAGCTTCTAATGCTTTATCATATTGTGATTGATCATAATAAAGTACACATAAATTATTATAAGTATCAGCAAGATCTAAATTATCTGATGATAAAGTTGCTTGTTCAATTTGAAGTGCTTGAGTATAACACATTAATGCTTTATCATAATCTCCTTCTTTTCGATAAATAATTCCCATATTATTTAAAGTTGCACTTATTGATGGATGTGTTCCTGGTAAAACTTTTTGTTTCATTTTTAATGATTTCTTATAACAATCTAATGCTTGTTCATAATCATCTAATTCTTCATAAATAATTCCAAGATTATTTAATGAATCAGCAATTGATGGATGATCTATTGGTAATGCAAGTTTTTTCATTTGATATGATTGTTGATATAATGCTAATGCTTTTGTTAAATTTCCACGTTTTCTATAAATTGTTCCAATTGCAGTTAATGTTGTTGCTATTGATGGATGATCTTGATTATTAATTAATGATGAACGTTTCATAGCTAAAGCACGTTCATAATAATCTAATGCTTTTTCTGTTTGTTTTTGATCTAAATAAATATTTCCTATATTATGTAATGTTCGTGCTATATCCATAGACTCTTCTTTTGGTTTAATCTCATTTTTTTGTAAAACTAATGCATGTTCATAATATTGAAGAGCTGGTTTATAATCACCACGAAGATAACAAACACGACCAAGATGAAAATATATATTTGGAATATCATTATGAGTATCAGGTAGATTTGATAATATACGTTTTAAATAACTTTCAGATTTTGTATATTCACCCATATCACACATCTATTTGCAAATATATATATCCATATTATATTAATAGAAAAAAATAATCTTACTAATCGACCAAATAATAAAGTTGAATTTGTTTCTTCACTTTCTTTCGCAACACTTTTAATATATTCATTGACGATATACGATGATTTTTCCACACCTGTAATAAAAGTTTTATATAATACTACTGAGAACCGATGCACGATGTTTTCTCATCATTAGGCATGAGCGATACCGCATCAGAATTGGGAATCAGCAAGTCTGATTAGAATCCTGATGTTTACAAAATTTAAACTGTACGAGTCAGATGCGATACTTAAAAATAGAAAAACTCTCTTCCGCAACCGTTATACTAATGTCTTTTTTTAAATTTATCCTATAGCCTTTGACCTAGAAGAGACACTGATCATTATACATATCTAGAAAAATAAGTTTAACAATACCTGATAATTGTATAACCCATAAATTTCGTGCTTTATCTAATTCCGTATGAACAATTTTAAAGACTGTTGATAAATCAAAAAGAACTTCTTGTTCTTCTGGATAAGTACTAAATTGAGCAATATCAGCAAAAATCATTTTATCTAAATTAATATCTCCATCAATTTCTAATAGAACTCCAAAAACATTATTTCTGCTCGATGGTTTTGTTGCAAATCGAACAGCTTGTTCAATATCTCGACTTGTTGAAAAAAATCCATTCATTGATATTAAACCTCCAATATTATCAATCATTTGACTAATTTCTCCATTTGTCATTTTTAATCCACGATATAAACGAATTATATTTGATTTTGCATCACGACATGTTCGACGTAATTGATTATGTTGATAAGCAATTCGACTACGTAAATGTGTTATATAAACACGAAATGTGTATAAAGCATCAATATCTTCTGTACGTAATGCTTTATTAACTGATCTGTAAACAAATGATTGTTTACTGTACCATATAATAGCATCTTCTGGTTTCTAAATAAAAATAAATCATTATTACGATTAGTATTTTTGATTTTTTAAAAATTTACATAAGTTTTTCGAAAATCTTCAATATTAGTTAATTCAACACGATTAGTTCGATAATAACATTGACAATGTTTTAACATTTCTTCAATACCTTGATTTTTTGTATCGGATGCTGTAATAGTTTTTAAAACATCAGTTAATAATTGAAACCAAAGAAATGATGCTGATTCTCGTGTTAAATATCTTGTTGGACGTTGTTTACCATCAAATAATCCAAAAACAGTTGCTTGTTTAGTAACTAATTCAACATTGGTTGCTAATGATTCCATTAAATCTTTTTGTTCAGTAAAAATATCAATTATTTTCGAATATTTTTCCATTAATGGGACATATTTACCACGAAATACACAAAATATAAATACAGAATCAATTTGTTCTAATGAATGAATTTTATCAAGTTGTTCAAGTGCATAAAAACCAGATGTTATTAAAAATATTTTTTCTTTTGGAACAGTTTTTATATAATCAATACATGGTTCAGGTTTAGAAAAAAATAAAACATAATCATTAATTTTACGTAATAATGTTTTAGTTTCTTCAACATCTTCTGGATTTATTGATTCATCCATATTTTGATCAAACCATATTATTGTTACATCTTCAACACTATGTGGTAATGATACAGGTTCACCAGCTGTTGGTCGACCTATTTTTGATACAACAGGACTTTTTGTATTAATCATAGCCATCGATCGATATTATTTTGTTATAAACAATTCGACTACACGTGCGTTATGATACTAATATGTGAAGATTACAAAAAGTATCATGTGTGACTCGTGATGATACATCAATTTATTTTACGGATGATTGCTTTCATAAGGGAAGAAAAGAAAGAAAAACTTAACAATAATATACTTCGCTGGTCAACATGTTTTCATATCGTTTTATTGATGACGTATTTTGAAAAAACTGACATTAATTACACAATATCAAATGTGAACTGCTGTAATCAATGCAGATTATTATAGATAACTTAAATGAATTTTTAAAGATTTCTTGATCTATTATAAATATGTATAAGCAATATATAAATTCAATTTATTACAATTATTCTCTATAGTTCTTTTCGGTGTGACCAGTTTCTGGCATTCCTTGTATTGATAAGAAAATAAATGCAAACAAATTATTTTTTTCTATTTATTTTTCATTTCAATTTTCATTGAACAATTCGGACATTCGATAATATCAAAATTAAGATCTTTATCAAGTTCTAAAATCGTTCCACATCGACAAGTATATTCATTATCATCATCGAAATCATTCAAATCAATATTTGTATGTGGAAGTGTATGTAAATGTTGACGTTGTTGTTCTTGATCATATTTTAATCGAAGTTCAAGATTTGAAAGAATTTTATAAGCATTTTGAATATCTTCAAAACGATTTTTTGTTATTAAATCATTAGAATTTGTTTTATCTGGATGATATTCAAGTAAAAGACGATGATATTGTTGTCGAAGAATATCCGATGAACAATCAGATGGCACACCAAGAATTTCATATAAAGTCATTTTCTACAACAAATTATAATTTTCCTTCTTTTTATGATCGAAAAAAAAAATTCTTTTTAACAATATTGTTCTTCCAAAAGCACATACACACACACACACGCACACACAGAAATATCTGACACACACACATACATATATATATAAAATAATTAAAGACTAGATTTTGAAAATCAATTGTTAGGTGAAAATGTTTGTATTTCATCAAAAATAAATTGACGATAATCGTCGATTGTACATATACAAGTCATATCATCCGTTAATGAAAATGGTATTGAACATATTGGCTACAATAGAAAATAATTAAATACAAAAATGTTTTTCATTTAATTTACTTCATCATCTGGATCAGAATATTGAGTTAAATAAGGATGACTTAATGCTTGTTCTGCTGTATATCTTAATGATGGATTAAATGTTAATAATTTATCAAGAAGATCAAAAGCTATGAAAGAAAAGCTTATTTATTATGATATAGAAAATAATATTTCATTACCAATTGAACTCCCACGAGAGAATAATTCATTAAAAGCAGGTTTTGTTTTAATTGGCATTCGACTTATATATGAACATGCCTTTTTAAAGAAAAAGAAATATTTCATTTTGTTATACAAAAAATATTACTCTTGGATCACGAATTGATGCTAAATCATCTTTTGTTGGTGAACCAATTATTGAAAAAATATGATTTAATTGATCAACATAATGTCGACCAGGAAATAATGGTTTACCCAGTAACATTTCACCCAAAATACATCCACATGACCATAGATCAACTAAATCATTTATTAAATATTGATTTTGTTTTTCAAATGAAAAACATACTTGATTTATGATAACAACGTTGACTAACCATTATTTCTGGTGCACGATACCATCGTGTTGCTACATATTCTGTTAATAAACCATCATCTCGCGCTTTATCATCCACAGTACGAGCAAGACCAAAATCACAAATCTTTTATTAAACAAAAATTTTCTTATAAATATCAAAAAACATTTTTTTATATTTTTACTTTCAAATCACATGATCGATTTAATAATAAATTACTTGGTTTTAAATCACGATGTAAACTAAAATAAACGTCCTATAGCTACAGAAGGTTTAATAATAAGAAAAACAGATACTTACACATTAGCACTATGCATATATTTGATACCTCTTAACAATTGATAAGTAAAATAGAGAATATGATCATCGGATAAAATTTTCGAACCATTTTGATGTGTAATTAATTGAGATAGATCTGTATCCATTAATGTTTCGATTAAATAACTTAAAAATGAAATCGAATATTAAAAGTAAATTTTCGATTTAGTTTTTTCTACGAACATATCTTTCATTTGTTCTAACGATGTTGGTTTAAGAATTTCAATTATATTGATAATCTAAGAAAAAATGATTTTATTGAATCATAATGACATAAAGAAGAATTTTACATTTTCGTGTTTCAATCGTTGAAGAATTCGAATTTCCCGTAATGTTCGTTGACAAGTTGTTGTTGAAAGAAATGGTGAAATTTTTTTTATAGCAACATTTGAAAGTGTTTGAGAATCAAATGCTGATCTATTTTTTATGAATTGAAATGAGGACTTTGTAAATAAACTAAATTTACTTACACAACCATTCCATAAGCACCAGATGCAAGATATTTTAAATTAACAAAACGATTACCAACTGCAAATTCTTGACCTCGAATTTGTATATTACTATTAGTTGAGGTCATTGTTTTTATTAATAAAATCTAAAATAAAATCTTCTCTCTTCTAGTTTTCTTATGTATCAAAATACAATTCAATTGATTGATGTTGTTATACAATATTTGATCATACGATTAACGATTACATAACTGATTTAATGATTATTAAAACCTTGTAGAGATTATGAAATGTGTGATTAGTAGGAAACTGTTTATTAGAAAAAGAAAAATACGAACTAATTATAATGAATACTTTTATATTTCCATAATAATGAAATCTATCTCTCAATTAACTTTTCCTTTATTCTGATTTGTTCTCTAATGAACCAATAAAAATGTTGATGTCTATCTCCTTTTGAACTTGATTTATATTTCATTGAATGAATGATTGAAATTATTTTGTAAGTAGAAAAGAAAAAGAATAAAATCAATTAAGAAAAATAGGAATATTATCTTTTAGAAAAAAACTTTCTTCGAATTAAAATCAAATAGAAAAATAAAATTATCCTAGAAATCAATAGGATTGATTCTCTATATTCAAAGATCATTGTTAGACGGTTATGTGTGTGTGTGTTTGGTAAGAAAAGAAAAAAAAATATATCAGTGAAGTGTTTCTATACATTCAATTGAAACACTTCATCCGTCGATCATTCGCGTACATCACACAATACGTGTTAGACGTTCGTATTTTCTTTTGTTTAATCGATAATAAAATATATTTATATATATATATATATCTAGTACAAATCAATCATTTCTTCACACATTAAATGTCTGGTATTAAACGAACTCGTACAGATGAAATATTATCATCATCATCATCATCAGTAGCATCATTAGCATCTCAAACAACAACAACAACAACAACAATTACAACAACTTCTACAATATCACCAAAAATTGAAACACCATCCACTTTTAATTCAAATGTTGAAGAAGATTATAATTGGTAAGAAAGAAAAAAAAGAGATTTTATTTATTTAATTAAAGAAATATTTTTATTTTAGTCCAATCTGCTTTGAAATAATTAACGAAGCATTTGTTTCTCGATGTGGACATAGTTTCTGGTAAGATTTTTCAATTATCAATATATTTCATAATAACCTTGCGATAAAGGACAAACAAACCGTTTTATCATTTCTAATTTTAATTATCAACACATTCAATTCTTATGTTTTAATTTAGCGAAAAGAAACTTTCTCAAGACATTAGAAATATTTTGCGCATTAAACTACGACCCATTGAGTAAATATTAACAAAATTTTTACATGAACATTGTATTGTGATTGAATGTCGACGAGATTATATTATAACAAACAAGTATCTAGGATAGAATTTGATTGAATATGTTATTTCGAAGGTCATGAAAAGCTGCTTACAATGAGAAACATGATATTCTAAGAATAAAACATTAGTACAATAGAACAAAAAAAGAATTCTTCTATAATATTTGTAGTATTATTGGTTTGATTTTATAGTAGATGGAAAACGATTGTATTGAAAATAGTACACAATTTTCTGTATAAAATATAGTATTTACTGTACTGATCAATTGTACATATAAATGATCATAAAAAGTAAACTAAAGATTGAACAAAAATATTTCGATGATAATCTTTATAACCTCTAATAAATGCTTTTACACTATACTTTTTTTGCCTGACAAAAATAGACGAATAAGATTTGAGGAATAGATTTTTTGCTGATCTTTATGTAAAACTAATTTCAGGCAGTATAACCTCTCTACCATAAATGTTTATTTTTAAGAGATTCGTGAGTGAGATCAACGAGTGTTCAATCATTTCTGCGGTATATTGCGAAAACTGTATGAAAACTGAGATAATATTTGTAAAAAATGATTAGAACTTAAAACGATAGTTACTCGGCTTGTATCTTGATTTGTGACTTATATTACTTGTCAAAATTAATAGTTTGGAGAAACTATCAATTAGTACGTGATTTGATCATACCTAGTATTAATAAAAAATAATTCTTGTTTCTTTTGTTGCAAAACGTCAATTATTTAACGAGAAGTAATATTTCAGTATATTAAATTGTTTTTATTTCTCATTTTACAGTAGTAAATGTCTTCAACGAACAGTTGAATCTCTTCGTCGATGTCCAAAATGTCAATTAACTCTTCAACCCTCTGATATTTTTCCAAATTATACATGTAAGAAAATCTATTTTCTATAAGAATAAAATTACTTATTTCTTTTTGAAAATTTAGTAAATGCAATCATAGAAAAATACCGTCAACAACGTCCATTACCTCAAAATTATGGCAAACATGGTGTATGTTACATAATCTTATTAATCTCTTTCATTTTTTTCTTCTTATTAATAGAGTATTGTTGAACATATCTCTGATATGGTAACAAATGTTCATACATTAAATACCGAAGATCTCGATCGACTTATGTCCATTATTCGTCATCATAAAGACAAAATTGATTCAGTTGGTTATAAAATTTTTGTCATAATTTATTCATTATTGTTTCTTTTCTAAATAGAATAGTGAATATGTTCATAATCGTTTACTTGAAATCTTTCTCATGCATGTTCATCATGAACGAAGTGGAGTAAGATTGGCCTTAGCTTTATAAATAAAATTGTTCTCTTCTTCTTCTTTAAAGGCAATTGAATCTTTAACTAAAGAATTAAATATTGTCGATCAAGATTTAAAACAAATGAATAAACGACAAAAATGTACATCATCAAATGTAAATAATTCAACAAATACAAATTCAAAACAAATAAATGATGATAATCCAATATTAATATCAAATTCAACAAATGATATTAAAGAACAATCAACATCAAATCATACAGCAATTGCTAATGATACTGTACCGAATTGGACACAATCAACAGGACAAGTTAGAATGAATTTATTTTGAAAAAGATACATCTCGATGTGTTCTTTTCTATTTTGATAGGATCTTCATGCAACACCTGATATGAAAACAGATAAACAACAAATCGCATCAACAACATCAATATCATCTTCCGTCATTGTACCAGCAACAATAGGAACAACATCATCAACTTTAACTAAAAATGATTGTATTGGATCAAGAATTGCTCCAGGTGGTGCTGTTGTATGTTAATATTTTGTAGAGAAATATTTCTTAAATTTAAAATGTAATTTATTGCAGGTACCCGAAGAAACAAATCAAATTAGTTTACCAGCAAATGATGATATTGAAAATCGAACTAAGATTATGATGCGTTTTATGGACGATTTAACAAATATTTATTTTTCAACAAGAAATTCATTAAGATTAACTGTAGAAACTGGTTAGAAGTTTTTTTAATGTTAATTTAAAAAAAAATAAAAGAATTTTCATGTTTTTTAGATGGCTCATGTAATGGTGATAGTGGATTACGTTCATTTCGAGATAGTTTAGCTTCTGTTACAAAATATTCACGCTGTAAACCAATTGCTAGTGTAAATTTCGTTGGAGAAAATTTTGCTCAAGCCAGCATTGTGTCAAGGTTTTATGCATATATGAATTATTTCTAAAATAAAAATCTTCTTTCATTTAGTATTGAATTTGATCGAGATTATGAACATTTCGCTGTTGCTGGTGTTTCAAAAAAAATTAAAGTAAAATATTATCATAATGAACATTCTTAGAAAAATATTTACTTAAGGAAATATGTATAAACGATTGAAGATGAAGTATTTTTTTGTCTTAAAATTAATTTCAGTTAGCTCAGGGTTTTCTTTTTATGACTATATATATTTACTCAATTTTTATGAAAAACATAACTGCAATTGTCGTCTCGTAGATTCCTTTTGAATCGATAAAGAATTGACTGAGTTATGAATCTAGCTGAAAAGTTTTTGCTGCTAAGGGAATCAAAATGAATGGTCGTTGTTCAGAGTATAAAAGTATTGATTGATAGAAGTTTGACTGTATTTTTTTTATTTTAGTTATATGAATATCAATCAATATTAGATAATACCGTTGATTTACATTATCCAACTAAAGAAGTTTTATGTACAGCTAAATTGAGTTGTATTAGTTGGAATCCATATTTAAGAAATTACTTAGCATCAAGTGACTATGATGGATTTGTTTCTATATGGGATATGGCAACAGCACAAAAAGTTCGAACATTTCAAGTGAATATTTATTTATAATTATTTGAAGAAATAAAAAATTGATTTCTTGTAGGAACATGAAAAACGTGCATGGAGTGTTGATTTTTGTTCATCAGATCCGAAATTACTTGCATCATGTTCTGATGATTGTCGAGGTAATTATTTTTCTTGGATTTATTTAAAAATCAATGAAAATTTTAGTTAAAATTTGGTCAATGCATAATGATTATTCCGTAACAACAATTGATGCTAAATCCAATGTTTGTTGTGTAAAATTTAAACCAGATTCACAATATAATATTGTCTTTGGAACAGCTGATCATAATTTATATTATTTTGATTTACGTAATACACGTGAACCTTGTAATTTATTAAAAGGCCATAAAAAAGCAGTGTCATATGCTCGATTTTTATCCAATAATGAAATTGTCTCAGCATCAACAGATAGTCAACTTCGTTTATGGCGTGTTACCGAAGGACAATGTTTAAGAACATATCGTGGACATGTTAATGAAAAAAATTTTGTTGGTTTAGCTGTTTCAAATGATAAAATTGTTTGTGGTATGAAATTTTTATTTGAAAAAAAGAACCTATTAAATGAAATATTCTTTTATAGGTAGTGAATCAAATACAGTACATTTATATCAACGTGAAATATCTCGGCCTTTACTCAATTATAAATTTGATGATCAAAATACTGGAACAGCTAAGACAACAACAACAACAACAGCAGCAGCAGTAGCAACAACTAATACAGATCGTGTAAAAAAAGATGAAACCGGAACAGAATTTGTTAGTGCAATGTGTTGGAGTAATGTATGTTTTACTAAAACATCATTTCTTGTTTTTTTATTCTTATATTTGATTTAATTTTTTAGAAAGAAAATATTTTATTGGCAGCAAATAGTCAAGGTGTTGTTAAAGTCTTGGAATTGTCCTAAGTTTCGTTATATGTGAATTCACGCATGTCTCTTTCTTCTTCTCCTTCTTCTATATGTGTTATATATATATATCATATTGATGACTGTATTCTTTATTTTTTTTCCTCTTTATTAATTTTTTTTCAGTTCCTTTATTCTGTTAAACTAATTATCGTATTGTGTATTTGTATGTCTATCAGATCTTGCCAGATGATTTTCTTCGTTCTTTTATTTTAGTTGTTCTTCTACGACAAGAAATTCTTCAGTATTTGTGTAAAACTATATATGTATATATGTTAGACAAAGATGTGGAAGAAAAAAAAACAAAGATAATATAAACACAAGTGTATTAATCCTATGAGAAATTATTTATCTGATTGTAAAAAGATTAATATTCAATTTAATGTTCTTTTGCATGATAGAACGCGAAGAAGTTATTTAGGTGAATGATTAATTAAATCTATTTTATATTGGGAACCCAAAAAACATCGGAAGAGACCATTATGACCCATCGGAAATTTATTTTGTAACCATGCTATCATCTTTCAACTATTAATTATCTAATTGAGTCTCAAAAACAACAAAAGATTTACAGAGTTGAATATCATTTCTCATGTTCTATTGGATTGTAATACAAAGATCTTATTTGACCTTAGTTTAATTAGATGTAATCTTATATTTACTATTCGTTTGTATCAATTTCGAATGTTGACAGATATGTATGTCTGTTTCTTTTTTTACAATACTAACAAAATTTTTAACCTTTGAAATGATTTATCTTTAGTAAATATAAATGAGTTTTCTTTTAATAAAGATATCTACACATGTCAATAAATCTAAGTTTACATTTGTGAAAGATAAAATTCTTTTCTGAAAAAAATATCATTGAATGACTAAGTATGTCAAATAATTAATCATGCTGATTGTTTATATTTATAATAAAGTTCTAGTGATAATTATGTAATAAGAGTCGAATATCTATCAATCAGAATTATTAAATGTCATATTATATTATTTTTAATCTCAATGATTTTATTTGACGTTGACATATTATATGAATAAACATCTAAATGATGTATATATATATATATATATGTGGATAAGGTCAAATATGTGTGAGAAAGAAAAAATTAATTGAATTTTATTATAAAACTGTTTCTCTTAATCCTTTAACAGATAAAAATGAGTTTATTTGATCATGTGCTAAACATGATTGGGGTAAAAATCCAATTGAACCATCATCTTCTTTTTGTACAAGTAATGTTGATTTACCAATACGTCTTAATAAACGTACTTGATCACCACGTATAACGGAAAAGATTTTTGTGCCATTTGTTGCGGATAATAATGATGAATTTTTATATTCATGCCAAACAAGATATGTTCCTTTTTTACTATGTTGAGAAGATTGTTTTCGACGTGTATGTGAATTTTTCAATTGTCTATCAGTATTTAATGATGATGATGATGATGTTAAAGATGATGAATATGATGATGATGAAAATGATCCACGATGATAATCTAATGTACGAATTGAATCAAGTTCAATTGCAGCTAAATTAAGTTCACCAAATATATGATTTGTTTTTGGTAATGATGATAAATTTTTCGAACAAGGAGTTGATGAATCATTTGTCATCATACCAATTGTTGTAAAATGACGTTGAAGTTGTGTGTTATTAGGTTCAGATATCACAGGAGATGATATCTATACAAAAAAAAAGAAAATATCGAATAAAAGATTATTTTTATGATTATTATATCATACCACATTAATCGGTTGATATGTTAATGTTTTTGAACAAAGTGAACTATCGCATGATAAATGTCTTCGTCGTTTTGCTGTACGTGATTTTGTTTGTTTTTGTTGTTGTTGTTGTTGTGAAGGTTTGTTTATTTGTGATTGAATCGTTGTTTTTGGTAATGGTTTAATATGTGGATAAGATCGACTAGCAGATAAAGATTGTTTTTGTTGAAAAAGACGAAAATAAAAATCTGGTGAATGTATTTCTTTATTAATTGTTGTATCTGACGTTGATGAATCTGTTGAATAATTTTCTGTAGATTTTTTATAATTTTTAAATGATGAACGTTGTTCACAATGACAATGAGGACATGATGTATGTAATGGACGACGTATATAAGATGATAATGTTGTTGTTGCAAAACTTTCTTCCGAATAACCGGAATCACCACCTCCACTACTTGTATTATTTCTTGTCAATATTTGTTGTTGATTTCGTCGATAAGATTTTGTTGATAAAGTTGGTTTTTTATCTTTATCCGAATATTTGACAAGTGTTGTTGATAGACGATCAAAATGTTTAGCTGTTGTAGGAAGATTTTTCGATGTATCACTATTTGATAAATAAATTGTATTAGCAGTTGATAATTTTGGACGTTGAGAAGTTAAATTAAGTATTGGAGAATGTGAAACTAAATACAAAAATTCTATTTTTAGATGAAATACAAAACCCAGACATACGCTGACGTCGATTGTATTGTCGTTTACGTGAAGAATTATTTTTTTGATGTTGTTTGTCATTTCGATGAAGTTCATCAAATGATAATGTACGTGATGTTAAATGTCCAATATAATTATTTCCACGTTCTTTCAATGAACGCCATGAACTACTGCGACGTAGTTTATTAAATTTTGATGATGAAATCTATGTTTAGATATTATAGATTAAAAAGAGATAGAGAAATAAAGAAAGAAAGAAATGATTTGATCAACTCAACTATGTCGCGCTTGTTCTTCTTTTTTTTACTTCGTGACAGTAATTGATAATCACTGTCATTCAATTGTCATCCTTTTTTGACAGCATATCTTTGTTTTGACATCATTTGCAATTTCTGCTCAATTATTTTCTTTTTTTTCCTCATTTATATGTATATATGTGTCTTGCATATCGATTAGGCAATTGTTCTTATCGATGTGGTAACTATCTTATAATAATGACTACTAGACATGATAGATATAAAACAATAAGTGCTTGAGATATCGTTTGATTTTCTCTTATCATATATAGAAGAACTTATAATATAATTACATTTCATTAGAAAATATGTTAGGAGGAGAAATAAAAGATGCTGAAGTATGAGAAAAGAAAATAAACGGAAGGTAGAAGAAGCTGCAGGGCAATCCTCTCTTGTATCTATAATTGGCAAAACATGCAGATGCGTGACAAACAACAGAACAATGTAAAGAAAATTGATTATAGCTCAATTAAATAAGACTATACATAGAGCTTAAAGATATAAAAACAGCTGGATGTGTATTCATAATAGTGAAGGTTATTGAAATGTAATTCTTTCGTATTAAAGATTAATATAAGGTGTCGAATGATAACAGGTGTGAAAAATAAATTATATTTTTTTTTTTTATCGTCATCGATTTTTTTTTCTTACCGATTTATTAATAGATGGTGGACTAGTACATAACCATTTAGATATAGATAAACGAGGTTGTTGATGAATTATTGATGGACGAGATGAAAATATTTGTTTAGAATTATTCGAATCGATTTCATTGTCGGAGTCTAATAGATAAAAAACAAAAAAACATATATATATATATATCTATATGAAATAATTCTAATGAATAATTAAAAATTTTATGATGAACAAACCTGATAAACTACGATCATTAGAGCGTGTTGATGTTAGTTTGGATTTTGCTCGTTCAAATACATTTACAAGTAATTTTATAAGCATTTTGTAAAGAATAATTATAAGAAAGAATAGTAGTGATCTGAGATGAATAGTGATGTGTTAATCGTCAAAGAGAAAAGCAAAGCGAACAGCAATCGTTTCCGCTCTTACGACGCCAACAAGAGAATGGAAATAATGAGAAGAGAACGAGAGAGAAAGAAAAGAAAGAAAAGAAAGAGAGATATACTGTTTGATGAAAGTTTATCGTCTCGTCTTTTGTATTGAGATATTATATTCTCTTTTTCTCTTCTTTTTTTTTTGCTTGCTCTTTATATAAGCGAGTGTACTATATCACCTAAATGGATCGAGTATCGTCCATAACTAGAGAGAAATAGAGCAAAGGTGTTACATTTAGGTTTATATCGATGCATTTATGACTAAACTTTGGCCAAGAATCGAAACAAAACGAAAGATTTTTAATGGAATCCTTGCGATGTGTAATATTAAGTAATATGAATCAATTGAGTATGGTAATAGGAGAAGTATTTTATTAACGTATCTAACAAATTTTTATGCAAGGTTACCTGTTTGAAAAGAAAAAGATGTGCATGACTGACTATATAAGATTACTTCACTGTAGATAAAGAAAAACAAGAGATGACATATGTAGGTGAGATTGAAAGATGACAAACTGTTCTCGTTTTGCTTTTTTTTTTATTTCTTCTAACTCACTCGTTAAATGGAAAAAGAGAAGAAAAAAATGAAGGAAAATGTGGTTATATTTATCTAGTGTCTTTCTTTTTGTCGACAACAGTTATTATATTAAAAAAAAAGAAAACTTCGTATACACGTAAACAATATATGTTAGTTGACTTAAAAGCCAATTAATCGTTTTCAATTGAAACGTTTCACATCCGTTCGATTGTATTTGCAAATAGAAGGAAAAAGAAAAACTTTTCATCGAATGTTATTGATCAACAGACTATTTCAATGTCAATCCGGCATTCTAGAAATACAATAGATGCCAAACTTTTTTCTTCCATTCCTTTTAATAATAAGTGATCTATATAAGATCGTAAAAGAATACTTTCATACATTAAAATATTATTTAAATTATCTTTATATTCAGCTCTTTTTTTCTTTCTCTTCATTACATCATAAAGATTGTCTTTACAGACCATTTCATAAAAATGTGCTATGTAACTTCTCATGCTCGGTCAGCAACATAGAGATGATCATATTATCAGCTACTAGTTCGGCTGTCTAAATAATGCAAAATGATCTGTTCTGCTTTTCTCATTTCATCGATCTTGTCTTTATTGACCGAATGATTGCGTGATCTTGCATTCATGGACAGTAGAAAAGACTTAATGTAAATCATTCATTAGTCATTTTTTGTCCTCGATGATGCTGTTTTTATGATTACAAAACTATTATGAGAATAATGATTGTTTATCTCATTGGGTATTTGTTGGCATGAAGAGTTTTTTCTCACGCACACTGTATAAACAAACTTGTTGTTCGTTCTCTTTGTCTTCTACCTATTTAATTACCTTTTTCTCTATCTCATTGAAGTCTAGTGTGATATATAACATACTATAAATGTCGCCTTAACAATATTCTAAAAAATGTAAATTATCTGCTTACCTTTATGACATAAAACGTTACTAAGCTTTTTCCACATTGATAATAATAAATAAAAAAAAAACGACGAACGTTGTCGATCTATCCTATAAATATAATAAAGTTTTTTTTTTCCTATGGCTGATTGGTAACAATGTGTTGCGTTCTATCGTTCTTGTCGTCGTTTGCGTGTGTTTCAGATGGCACACAAGGTTATATTGGCGTTTTGTATGTTGCCTAGAGTGATGCCTGAGCCTTCTTTTCTTTTGATTTTCATTCTATTTTCGCGTCTATCCGTTTGCTCGGCCTAATTCTAACATCACGCATGCTATATCGTTACTGAGAAGAAAAAAAAGATTCTTCTGAACAAAATCGAATTAGGCAGCTAAGAGGAAAAAAAGAGAAGAGGACAAAGAAGATTGATTTTTCTTTCCTCGATCGCATACATTCCTTTTTCGGAATCTAATTCGATCAAGATAC